GCCAATTATTTTCAGTAAGGCTGGTGGTGCCCCATCACAAAAGGAAGTTTTACAGCTGGGAATGATGATTCTTCATGACTGAGCCTTACTCTCAGAAGATATTTGCTAGAATCTTAATTAATGAGGGCCAAGGAATCGTTATCAAAAAAGAAAAGAAAATTATTAATTTCGTAGGTGACTGCTACCAGCATCAAAATGTAGTAATGTTGTCTACTAAGAGAGCCTTATAATTGGTTATTTGGAAAGGATAAAAGTTATATGTCTATTGTACACTGTACATTAAGATGAATTTTAGAGCTAAATGCAAATTTTAAGCAATGTTAAGTGGAAAAAGTGAAAACATAAAAAGTAGAAGGAAGTTAATACCAGATTCAGGGTAGGGAAGTCTTTTCGAAATAAAGGAAAAGAAGGAAACAATAAAAGAAAATATTGGTAGATCTAGCGACATTAAAAAAAACTTTCTTTTGTGGTGAAAGCCATCACAAAGAAAATTATAAGGCAAGCTGGAAATTCTGAAGAAAACGCAATTAAGTCTTAATATCCTTAATATAGAGGGAATTTTTACAAATCAACGCATTTATCTTCTAGTCAACAAAAATGAATTCAGCAACTATTAACTAGGTTAGATGATCGGGATATGGCAGTAAACAAAGTAGCCACACTTATGGAACTTGCAGTCTCATGGGAGAGATAGACAGTAAATAAAATAAGTAAAACCACATACTGTGGCAGATGGCAACAGTGCTATAGAGAAGAATGAAGCAAGAAGTGTGTGGGGGCTTCTTGGAGAGATGGGATTACAATTTTAATTAATAGAAGGTTTTTCTGGGAAAGAGACATGTGAATGAGGGAATGCCAGAAACTGGGAGCATGCCTGGTATGTTGGAAGGGAGGGAGGCCAGTGTGGCCAGAGTGCAGAGACAGAGAAAGAGAGCAGGTAGGAGGAGACAAAGTCAGAGGGGTAGCAGGGTAGCAACCAGGTCATGCAGGGTCTTCCCATTCATTGTGAGGACTTTGGCTTTTATGATGCAGAAGGTGGGAAACCACGAGAGGGTTTTAAGCAGCAGCAGAATATGATTTGAATTATGTTCCATCAAGAGCACTTTGGTTGTTGTTTCAAAAGAGGAAATAAGTTAGAAGGCCATTGCAAGACTGTAGCATACATAAGTTTTTTTTTTTTTTTATTGTTGTTTTGTTCCTTTAGTTTTTTGTTTTGCAGAAGTGTGTGGGGGAGTGGAGATGGTGTGGCTCTGCAGCGTGCATGTGGACATGTTGAAATTGAGATGCTCAACGGACACTGAGTGGAGTTGTCAACAGCCTCCTGGACATCCACGTCTGTGGTTCTGGGGGAACTTCTTGGCTGGAGCGCTAACTATGCGAGGTGTGGGCGTGAAAACAGTATTCACAGCCGAGACACCGAATGAGATCAAATAGGGAAGTCAGTGTTGACAGAAAGGGGAAGACATCTGAGAACAAAACGAGGAATCACTCCAGTGTTTAAAGATTTGGGTCCTGAGGAAGAATCAGCAGAAGAGACTGATGAGTGGGGGCCAACAAGGTAGGAGAAAAACCAGGTTTACGCTTCAGAAGTGAAGTGAAGAAAAAGTCAACTGTGTCAAGTGTTGTTGGTAGGAAAGTCAGGGGAGGACTGATAATATATTATAACTGATGACCTTATTTAGCTTGTTACTTGTTCCTTAATCTCTCAGCTCACTCCTTCAAAACTCACCCAAACTCATTTTTTGCACCCCACCCCACTGCCTACATTTCCACTTCTTTGCCTCTTTTAACAGAAATCATGCAAGCTTTCACCACCTGTTCCCTAGATCAAGGCAACAAAAGGCCCAAATGCCAGTAATCTAATACAGAAAAAGGAACAGGAATTAGAAGGAAAGTGAAGGCTGTGAATTTTGAGAACTATATATTTTAAAAAATATTTTTGTGTTTGTTGACTAAAAATAAAACTATTCAAATGTACCAGCTATCATAGAAATACAGCTAAAAATAAACTGGCCACGATTTTTTAATTTTTTTGCAAATCAAATTGGCATTTTAAAAAGCAGATCCCGTATGAGCAAGACTCAGCAGACATTCCCATATACTGCTGGTGGAAGTGTTAATTGGTAAAACTTTTCTAGAGGGCAAGTTGGCAATATATAAGAATATTTTTTTTTATAAGTTGCTTCTTCACACCTTTTGGTTCAGTAATTCTGCTTTTAGCAATTTATCATATGGAAATAATCAGAATGTACACCAAAATTTCTATGAAAGAATGTTTACTTCAGTGTTGCTTCTTCTAAAATGTAGAATTTATAAAATGTGTAATTCTTATAAAATATAGAATTCTATAAGATTCTATATTCTTATAGAATATCAAAACATCTTAGTATTGCTTCTTATGGACTCTATAGGATTACAATAGCAATTGAAATAATTTAATATTCAACGTTGGAGCTTGAGTCAATAAATTATGAGATATCCACAAAAGAAATACTCTTCAGCAAAGGAATATTTTAAAGATATGAACACATGTCAACAAATATTGTCAAAAAAACAAACTACATGATATGATTCTAGTTTTATAAATAAAAAGAATAGAAACATTTAAAATATATCAACTGAAATCTTAATAGTAATTATTTCTGTACATGCTTGTGCTTACTGGGGTTTTTATTCATTCAAAAATATTTACTGCGACCCTACCGGTTGAATGTCTGGGATACATCAGTGAAACACGGACACAATGCCTAACTTTGTGAGCCTACATTCTATCAAGAGGGATATAAAAAATTGACAATAATAAAGAAAGGAATTATATGTCTTCTAGGAGGTGATAAGCGGGCTAAGGACAAACGCAGGATAGAAAAAGAGGGCTTGGGAGTGGTGTGGGTACAATTTAAACTAGGATAGTCAAGGTCGGTCTCATTGAGAAGGTGGCTTTTGACAAAGTCTTTATGGAGTTGAAGGAATTAACTATGTGAATACTGAGTAGAAAACATTCAAAGTAAGAGGATCAGCAAATGTGAGAGCCCTAAGGTAGGAGCATGTCAGATGTGACTAAGGATCAGCAAGAAGGCCTGTGTGGCTGCAGCCAAATGAATATGGCAGTAAGAAATGAGGTACGAGGGCACCGAGGAGTCAGAATGGGTAGAAGCCACCGTAAGGCTCTGGCTTTCTTGAGAACAGACAGGTTAGGAAGCTACTGCAATAATCCATGTGAGAGACGGTGGTGTTGGAATAAAGGGGGAACAGTAAGAATTGGTAAAATTTGGGGTATGTTTTGAAAGTAGAACCAAGAGAATAGATTTTCTCAAGTTTGCATATAGGGGATAAAGAAGGAGAGGGCTTCACGGTTTTTGGCCTGAATGTTTGGGAGGATAATGTTGTCATCAACTGAGACAGAAAGGCTGTGAGTAGAGGTGGTTTTGGGGTGGGAGCAGGGAGCTCAGGAGTTGAATTTCAGACATGGTCAGTCTCTGCAAGGGGAGATGTCCAGAAGGCAGTTGGCTATGAAAATATGGAGCGTGGGGACATGTCTTGGCTGGAGAGATACACTTGGGGGGAATCATCAGCCTAGAGACAGTATTGGAAGCTATGAGAAGGGGAGAGCCCACCATGGAGTAACGGTGCATGGAGAAGATGTTTAAAGACTGCGTCCTCGAGCACTCCAACACCAGAAGGGTGAACTAGGCCCAAAAGCCAACAGCTAAGTAAAAGGATTTGATCAACTCATTTATTATACATTGAGCTGTATTGATGAATATGTCCTCTGTCAAAGGCAGGTTCTAACCAAAGCCGTAACCCTGAGTCAAAGGAGCGGAAGGTGAAAAGTAGATAGGGAGGGACAGCAGGCTGGAGGATGTTGTCACTTTAGCAGCAGGGTCGCCTTTTGGACGTTTGGTATAACGTAAACTGGCGTAAACTGGTTCTGACTTGTGTACTGGCAACAGTGTCCTGGCCGGTGGAAACTTGGCACTTGAAATGTGCATTGAACACAGGTTGTCCTCAGAGACACAAGTTGCAGCAAATGCACAATTTGTTCAGTTGCCAGACACCATCTATATGGTTTTTTAATTAACAGCTTTACTGATATGTGATTGACACACCTTATGATTCACCCATTGAAAGCCTATGATTCGATGGTTTTTAGTATGTTCACAAGAGTTGTACACCCATCAGCACAATCAATTTTAAAACATCTTCATCATTCGCAAAAAAGAAACCATGTATGTGCTGGCAGTCACCTCTCATTTCCCCACAACACTAACCGACTTTATGTCTCTGTAGGTTTTCCTGCTTTGGACACTTCATGTAAATGGGGTCATACAATATGTGGCCTTTTGTGTCTGGCTTATTTCATTTAACACAATATTTGCAAGGATTATCATTTTGTAGCATGTATCAGTACTTTACTGAATAATATTTGACTGTATGGACATTGTTTCCACTTTTTGGCTATTACAAATAACGCTATTATGAACATATTTGTGTACATGCTTTTGTGTGGACATATGTTTCTATTTCTCTTGGGTCCATACCTAGGAGTGAAATTACTGGGTCCTGGGGTAACCCTGTCAAAGGCAGGTTCTAACCAAAGCCGTAGCCCTGAGACAAAGGAGCGGAAGGTGAGAAGTAGATAGGGAGGGACAGCAGGCTGGAGGATATTGTCACTTTAGCAGCAGGGTCGCCTTTTGGACATTTGGTATCACAAAAGCAGCTCCCTGATTGTTTGTCTCTGATTTGTGAGCAGTGGTTCTCAACTGGGGGTGAATTTTCCCCCCAAGGGGACATTTGGCATGTCATTTGGCAATGACATGGTTGTCACAACTCTGGGGGGAGGGTGTTACTGGCATCTAGGATGTAGAGAGTAGGGATGCTGCCAGACATCCTGCAGTGTACTGGACAGCCCCCCACATTATTTGGCCCCAAATATTAATAGTTTTAGAAACTCATGTTTACTCTGAAAAAAAAAAGGAAGGAAAGGGTCAAGAGAACATTACCAAAAGTTGGCTCTGGAGAAGTGTTCCACGTAGAGCTGTTCATCAGAAAAGGGGGCCAAGTGGATGTCGCTGAATGTCGGGAACATCATTCCTAACAGGCAAAAGACAACAGAGGTAGGAACTTGACTTCTATTGCTTGATTGAAGGCCATACTCACCTGCCACCTGAGGCCAATCCCATTGTTTTTTGTTTCAGTTATTATGCAACAGGACAAAATATAATTTTGTCTCAAAACAAGGAAAAATAATTAGGCAGAAGATTGGAGGGTCTATAGAAAAGAATACCAAACCAAGTTAACAAAGCTATGCAATGATAAAAGTCCATTGACTCTTAGGTGAGCCATTCAACCAGGCATAGTTGTCTTCTCAGCCGCTGGCTTTTTTCCTTTTTTTATGTTCTGTGCTTGGAGTTCTGGGTTCATTCATTCATTTTCTTATTTATTAAAAAATCTTAGCTTCGAAAATAATCAAAATCCCATAATCCCATCACATTGTTTTCATTCTCAGGCTTTGTCCCTGTTTCATCAGATCAACTACCTATCTTCCACAGTGGCTGTTGGGCTTTATGCTTATGTGGATGCCTGCCACCCTTCATGCTGGGAAGTACACACCTGTGCCTTGTTCCTGGCACCTACAGTCATCACAGGAAAGGCAGATTATTTAGTGGGCAAGTGAGGACTTAGACAGGCATGCCTGAAAGCTGGGCCTTTTTGAGCAGGTAGACCTTGATGATCAGCCTTATTATTCTCATGACTTTAGGGAAAATCTTTCTATAACCATTTATTACATTACATATAAAAAAGGTGAACCAGTAACTCTATTTCAGAAATGAGGGTAGTCCAAGAAACCACAGAAACTGTCATTAAAATAACAAAAATAATAGCTAAAATTTCTTGATTATGTTAACCTTGCCATGTACTTTTTAATGGGATTTCCATGCATTAATTTATTGAATTCTCATAACAACATAAAGTGGGTTCTATTATTATACATGTTTCATAAACAACAAAACTAAGGAACAAAGAAATTTAAGTTACTTGACCAAGATCACAGAGCTAATAAGTGAAGAGTAAAATACTTAATATTATGTGGCCCCATGTCTGTTAAAACAGATCATTTTATTTAGAATATCTTCAAAGGCAGTCAGCAGCAAAGCATGATTGTGACATAATTCATATGTCTCATCTAAATCTCAGATGTTGGTATCAAAATAATAATGATTGCTTAGTGGTTTTTCAATTTCAAGATAGAAAACCTCTGAGTGGAGGTTTTTCCAAGTTCTTGGTGATCATTGAGAGAAAAGAATTTCAAAATGCACCACGGAAGCCAAGCATGTAGCTTTTTATTGAAAGAAAAAGTACATTCTGTCAAGAGAAAGAGAGTAGGCAGGCTCGAAAAGAGCACCTGCTCCAGGGGAAGTGGTTTTAGACCTTTTGTAGTCTTACTAATTGAGGGGAGGAATACTCAAGGCTAAGGGGTTGGCTTTTACTAAGAATTTGGGAAGTCTGGGGGATGGTCACGCTTGAAGCTCTGACTCGAGGGGAGAGGGGGGCATGGGCAATATATGTAACCTTAACATTTGTACCTCTATAATATGCTGAAATTAAAGAAAAAGAATTTGGGTAGTAATTCCTAGAACTGGGTTCCCTCCCATTTTCATACTTTATATGGTTGTCACAGAACTGTCATGATGATTTCTAGGGCAAAGAAATTTTAACACCACAATGTAAATGATATTATACTTAGCTAAAGTTCATGTAAGGTGACAGAGACAGCTGACAAGCTGGTTAAAGCTGGTTCTTGCCTGTGGTTATCAGCCCTCTAGTTAGAGTCTGCTTGAGGGTTGTTTACTTTAACACCTGTACCCAATCTGCAATCCCCCCATCCTGTCTGAGTCTTGTCTCCTATTCTAACAGAAGGATATTAAACAACCTTTAAAAAGTAATATGGATCACTGGTTGTGAAAACTTATGAAGCTTCTGAGGATGATGTTGTGAGCCTCACCCTAATAGGAATTCTAAGGGTATTAGATGAAATGGAGAGGAGGAAATCATCAAAGGTAAAATACAAGAAAAATTCCAAGAGCCAAAGAAAATGTATTCATTGAATTTCCAGCAAAAAAATTTTTTTTAAAAGATTCACACCAAGAACACTAGAGAGAAGATACTAAAAGTATCTGGAGGAAAAACTATGTTATTCTAAAGGATCAGGAGTTGAAATGGTATTGGACTTCTCACTAGCATGACTGGAAGCCGAAAACCCTACCACCACAAAAACAAGCAAGCAAACAAACCTTAAAACATACTGAGTAAAATAGTTTCAAGTTAAATTCTTAACCAGTCAAGTAATAATAGAAGAGCTCAACAAAAAGTAACTACTCGAGCTCCTTTTCTACAGAAGCTATTAGAGAATATCCTTTGCTGAAATGATGCTGTAAAATCAAGGAGGAGGAAAACAAAAGGATGATGATGGAAGTCAAATTATGGCAGCCATGAACTAGGGCTGGAGCGCAGCCAACTTGTGTTTGCTAGAGGAGGCCAGAGGACCACAGAATAGAAACGAGGCACGGAGGAATAAATATTGATAGGCATCTGTCTGATCTGCTGGAGCATGGAAACATTTAGCCATGAGTATATGAAAGCTAATGAAAAAAAAAACAAGGCAATTAACTCCAGGAAAAACAAAAGATTACATGATAAAATATACATACTCATCATCTACTACACCATCTGACTCAGCCCTGAACAATAATCACATCACATCACAATAATGTAAACTCTGATTATTAATTTAATCAAATAATGATTTGGGTCCCCATTCCCTTATCCTATATTCTGAAATCCAAAAATCTCTGAAAAGCAAAAGATTTTTGTAAGTTTGTAGCAGCATGATTTGATGGCAAAACCTGACCTGAACTGACATGAGTCTATTCATATTCTTCATTTATTCTACTTGGTATCAATATTCATATGTTTTGTTGCACAAGTATAATGTGTTTCATTATGGAGTGAGCCTCTATCCCACTGGGGGCCTTAAGTAATACATGGTGTGTGATCGTATTAACTTTCTAAAGTCCTCCAGATTCTGAGTTTTGAAATGTATCTGGCCCCAAGGGTTTGGATAAGGGATTGAGGACCTGTATAAATAAATTGGGAAGAAGGGGGTAGGGAGGGTACATCAAGAAGGGAAGGAGCTTCTATGTAGGACAACTAGATTCTCAAGCAGAGAGTGACAAGAATAGCAATATAATAATTTTATATAGAAATATGTAGGTAAATAATAGAAGAAACAACAGAGTTGAAAGTGGTTGCCTTTGGGGAGCAGTCTGACAATAGGAAGAAGTGTGGCAGAAGGCTGCTATTTTTCAGTACAAGCCTTTTTATTATTATTTTATGTTTTAAATTATGTCTTATTTTGATAGAAAATAAAAATAATTAAGAAAAAATCAATCACCCTTCCCTCAGGAACATAGGCTAGAAAGCTGATAAAATCAGTATTCATTTCTACTTGCCAAGTTAAAGATACATAGCTTGGTATAAAATGTCATATCCATTTCAAATATCTGGGGTAAAAAGGATACCCAGATATTAAATCTAAATATACAGATTAGGAGAAACTTAATAGATGCATGTTAAACATCATACAAAAGCATCTAACTATCTGAATAAAAATCAGGGGGAAAAAACCCATAACAAATCTTCTTGGGGATATTGAAGAGGTCATCCAAGCCACTGTGTTTCTTCACTTTCACCCCCCCCCCCCGTTTAATTTTATCACATGTACACAAGGTTTCCAAGATCATCCTGAGCTGTTTTATAGCAAGACTACTAATGAAGTTCTTGACATTAGGTATACTTTCCGTAAGCTTACTTACTTATTTTTACATGAATCTTTTAGTACCTATTTCTGAATTTTGAAGCATGTAGGAAATTATAGACAAACTTTAAACTTAACATATATGCATGTTGGTGTGTATGAATTGCATTCTTCATTGGATATCAAGGTAGGGAGCCACAAGTTTGGCAATTTAAGGTAAATAAAATTGGGGTAAGGAGCTGAAATTCTCATGATAGATGCAACTCCAAAAATTGACCAGCTACCTTCAATGCCTTCATTCCAAATGTGTTGCTGGAATGTGTCTACTCTTCTGCAGTGAAGAATGGAAAGTTGCTGTGTGTGCAGGAGTTCTGAGTGTAAGCTTCAGTGTCATAGAGAATAGTTTCAAATCTCTGCCCTGTCACTTAGTCAATGTGTGCTCTTGCCAAGTTACTTTCCATCATCAAGTCTCAGTTTTGCCTTTGTAAAATGGGGATCAAAATAATGTCTCTCACTAACCCAGGTCTCAATCTTGCACTATTGACATTTGGGACTAGACAATTATTTGATACAGGGGACTGTCCTGTGGCACCAAAGGATGTTTTGCATCATCCTTGCCTTCTAGCCACTAGATACCAGTACCCCACCCTGCATTGCTACTGGGACAGCCAAAAATGTCTCCAGACATTGCCAAATGTCCCCCAGGGAAGGCTGAAAAACTACTGAGAACCTCAGTACTAAGCTCTCAAATAAACTGACTTTGTAAAGATTTCTCAGAATAATTTATTCAAATTGCTTAGCAGATGCAGTCACTTGGTAGGCACAAAAAGCATATTAGATCTGATATTATCTCGACTAAGTGTAGTGAGCACAGGGAAGGGGGAGAAATATAGTAGGAAAGAATATGTCAAAAAGAATGAGCAGACCCCAGAGAGTTTCTCACATTCTAGAAAGCCAACATTTGAACGGGCTTTAGAGATTATGTGTAATAATATGTCATCAGATGGATGAAGAAAGCAAAGCCAAAGGTCAAGTGTTAGCCCAAGTTTGTTAGGGAAGAAAGTGATAGAACTACGATAAAAACCCACAACTTGTCCTGGCCTTCTCTACCATATTGAATAATATGCAGCACACATGGTGTTCTTATGGTTGGAAACTAGCTAATTTGTTATGGAAGAGTAACATAAGAAAATCAAATAATTGCATATAATAGAAATGCTCTCTCTTCTCTGCATAGAATCAAATGTTAGGGAAAGAAGGTGGCAAGATTTTACAGAGAAGTTAGCCTGTTTTCTAAACCAGGAATTGGCCAACTTACCATTTGATTTTAGCCATTTTTTAGAATGAAGGTAACTCTCTAGCATCCTTTCATTGAACAGCATGTATCCCATTGGTTCGGAAACGATCACGTCTACAGCCTCAGGAAGTGAGATTTCTTCAATTTTTCCTGGCAAAACGATGATCTTGTCTGAAAGGTGGTTATTTTTCACTAGCACCTGAAAAAGATGAAATGGGGTACCAGTACTGGTGTTATTCAGAATTTTATGAAAAATCAGTTTTATAGGGTTGAGAATATGATAGGAAGGAGAAAGAAACAGTATTTTTTTCTAGAAACAATTCTAAGAAAAAATAACTTATTTTTCTTAATGCACAAAAAGTACATCTTTAATATAGAGTAATACACAGATAAGAAACAAATAAAACACCTATAATCTTACTACATAGAAATAACTATTAATATTTTGATGTATACACTTCCAGACTCTTTACACAAACATACACATATCTGTGTATTTATGTGAGTGTGTATGGTCTGTGTATGTGTGTATATCCCCGCACAATTACATTTAGGGGGCTTTTCTTTTTTATTAATGACTTCAGCTTATATCCCATTGTTCTCTCTGCAATACTGATGCCAAACAACTCTGTACAATGATCTCCCACAAATTAATGATCTTTATCCTTAGTAAATTATCCCTGGTATTTTGATTTCAAAAATAAATAATACCATGTTTACTAGCCTTTCTTTAGGAGTACATTTTTATAGTCATGTATTCATTTTCCTTGATGTCCTCTATATTGTATTTAGTAACTGAACTCCTGGAAGAGGGACCCTGGAGAGAAATACATTTATTGTATTCCTAGCGTCTTTCTTCTTATGCCAATGTGACAAGGTGATTGAATTATTACATTTATGTCTCTGTATTGTCTGAAAAAATAATTCCCAATAAACATTTGCACCAGCATAAATATATATAGCATATTCCTTTTGAAATTGTTCCTCCCTGACACTTTTAGATCTTTGTTCACAGCATTCCTATCTGGTCAGAGTCCTTCCATTTGTATTTTTGTAGCTTGATTCCTTTCCTCATCCGAAATGCAATGTACTGTACATTTGTCATGATTCAGTTGCATCATCCAGATTCTGATCACTTCTTCAAATGGCTAGGGTATCTTTTCCATTTAATCCTATCTTCTAGGGTGCTGCTTACCAATGCATGCTCTGTAAGCTTACTAACTCTCTTTTTAAGTTAACTTTATTTTTTAAAGGCAAGTAATCTCTGATCTAAGAAAGAATAATAAAGAAAACTATTTGAACATGTCATCCATTGTCAACATTCATCTATGCACAAGGACTCTTCAAATTTCATTCTGTCATCGTTCCATTCATATAAGTCAATCCATTGGCCTTTTATGGAGACAAGGCCTAAAGGTTCAAGATTTTGGTGTCTTGCTTTTCTTTCTACATTCTCTTCCCAGGACAGTCAACCCATTTGCACAGCTCTAACTCTGGCTCCACTGTGAATGCCTGTCCAACTATACCTTTAGTTTGCTCTCTCACCTGAGTTTCAACAGTCACCCGGGCATTTCCACTAACATGCTTTGTTATCTCCTGACATCAACAAGTAAACAGCCTAACTTAGCTTCTTGACAACTAATCATCCTTCTAAGTTTGCCTTTAAAATCTTTGTAAAATATTGTTTTTTTTTCTGATTCTATTTTAGTCACTAATACCACAATCCTCAATGTCTTGGCAGAATACTTAGATCCCACAGATATTAGTTACATAGTTCAGTTTTCTGAACTTTTTTTACATAATGCTACACATTAAAAGAAAACAAACCCAATTTTATGATATACTTGGGTGAAAGAAAAGGCTGCTTGCAGTTCAAGACATTTGAGCTGGGGACTCTGGCCATGACTAGCTGCCATAAAAGCAAAAGGCATCAATATTTCACTTACACGGGGAAGCCCTATTTTAGTCATCTTTCCATGAATTGTTCTACAGCATAATTTTATTAGCTGTATTTCTATTATTGAACATTCAGGTTATTTCAAATTTCTCTTTATTAAAATGTTTTCTTGTTTTTTGTTTTTTAAGATAAGTGGTCTCACTCTGTTGTCCAGGCTAGAGTACAGTGGCACAACCATAGCTCACTGTAACCTCGAACTCCTGGGTATAAGCAATCCTCCTGCTTCAGCCTCCTAAGGAGATGGGACTTCAGGCATGTGCCACCATGCCTAATTTTATTATTATTATTACTTTTGAGACAGAGTCACTTTGTTGCCCAGGCTAGAGTGAGTGCCATGGCGTCAACCTAGCTCACAGCAACCTCAAATTCCTGGGCTGAAGCAATCCTTCTGCCTCAGCCTCCTGAGTAGCTGGGACTACAGGCATGAGCCACCATGCCCTGCTAATTTTTTCTATATATATTAGTTGGCCAATTAATTTCTTTCTATTTATAGTAGAGACGGGGTCTTGCTCTTGATCAGGCTGGTTTTGAACTCCTGACCTCGAGCAATCCACCCACCTCGGCCTCCCAGAGTGCTAGGATTACAGGCGTGAGCCACCACGCCTGGCCTATTATTATTATTATTATTTTTGTAGAGACAGGGTTGTTTCCCAGACTGGTTTCAAACTCCTGGCCTTAAGCGATGCTCCTGCCTCATTCTCTCAAAGTGCTGGGATTACAGGTGTGAGCCACCGCACCTGGCCTACAATAGTATATTAATGCAATTAAGTCTGGGGATATACTTCCCACTGTTTCCTTCAAAGTTAAGGGGTATGGAACTTTTAAGTGTTTGTGATACACACTGCCCCACTGCCTGCCAGAAAGGTGGGTCACTTCCTAAATTTCAAGCCCTTTCTAAATTCTGTTTATGAGGTCTGGGGTTGTCCAGATAACTTCTGTATGTAAACCTGTCTCTTTCCATAGACTCATCAATATGGAACAGGATGTTGAAAGGGAAGATTTTCTCTATACGTTTTGTTGGAGGGATCAATATGATGGGAGATTTAGGTGAGACTGAGGCAGGCCTTATATGCAGAATTGATAAAGAATATTCTAGACTCTTGAACCCACAGGGAGATCAGAGATATCATATTTCAAAGAGAGGATTTTATGAGCTATAAGAAGTGCAATTACTGGTAAAGGTGGTCATACCATGTGCCTGGAAGTGAGTAAACGGGCCTGCCAGCAGGTCATTGCATCTTATGACTTCATCTGTCTTTGATCAGTTTTGAAGAGCACTCGATCAGGAATCTGCAGATATGTATTCTAGTTCTCCTTTCATCACCAAAGAGCTGTGTGGCCTTGGAGAAGCCACTTAAACTCTCCAAATTTTAGTTTCCCTCCTTGCAAAATCAGGATTTCAAACTGGAGTTGTTTGAAGACCCCTTCTAGTTCTAACATTTTATGATTAAAAGAAAGCAAATTTTCTCAAAGTATGTTCCAAGAGTCCTTGAACATAAAGGCTTCATGATTCAAATAGTATGGAATTTCTTTATAATACAGATCTGTCTTACAAATTCATACAGTCCATTAGCATATTAATGGCTTTGAGGAATTCTGAAGAAAGGAAAACAGTTGGCTTGGTTAAATTAAAGACATACAAACTTATTTGAATACTTTGCAGTTTTTTTCATTGAATATATAATTATCTCCCACAGATCAATCTTTAGGAAACAATGAAAACAGTTCTTTTATAATCCTAGGTTTGATTACAATTCCTGGAACAGAGATATTTGAAAATAGGACATAAATTCAACCAGCAATAGTGCTGACTGATACACAAGAGCACCTAATTTCAGATGTAATACTCCATTGTTTGAGACGATCTTGCTGCCTCCCTTCATCTTTGGTTTGTAACAGTCTCAGTACAGACAATTTTTTGCTAGCCTATCACTTCATGTGCCATTCTTCCAAAACTGCAACTCAGTAGAGATATCCTTTCCAGGAATAAATGGACCTCACTATGTCCCCCCAAGTGCTGGAAAGAGCCCCTAACACTGAGGAAGGCTCCCATCACCTACCACATTCTTGTTGCCCAGGTTTTCCCTGTATGACCTGGTCCTTCTCTAACAGTTCAAGATGTAGGGAAATTCCAAATAAAGGCTCTTCTTCCCAGATTCCATAGAGGTACAAGCAAATCCCCATCATATTCTTGTTTTAATCCTGCTTTCTTGTTATTAAATTGGATTTCCAAAGTCTATGTCAATAGTACTGTCACTTGTATCAGCTGCTTAAACACACACACACACACTCTCTCTCTCTCTCTCTCTCTCTCTCTCTCTCTCTCTCTCTCTCTCTAGGTGGTGGTGGCAGGACAATGTATCCTTTCAGGCATCAAGGTAAGTTCCAAGATAGATCAGGGCAGTAATTTCACCTGGTATGTTGCTGTTCTTGTCTCATTTTGGAGGGTCTTCATCAAGTTACATGTGTTATCAATGTATTATTTATTTCTCTTCAATTTGGAAGTTTACTTAGTCTTAGGGGTTGTACTATACAATAGAGCAGTTAATTACAGTCTGTCTTAAATCAATGGAAAGAGCAAGAATTTTAAAGGTGAAAGACCTGGGTGTTAATTTTGGATCCTTATTAGCTGTGAGACTGTGGATAAGACACATAATTTCTTAGAAGTCCATTTCTTTGTCTATAAAATGGGAATAATAATAATACCTGTATTTCAATGTTATTTCAAGGATCAACTCAAATGAGAAAGTGTATGGGAATATATAAATCAAAGATAATATGGATTAAATAAAATAAGGGTTTAAAGAACGTATGGTAAAGCAATGGAACTGAGATCAAAAATAAGATTTCAAATTCAAGGAAACAAATAAAGAAGCAAAGAAACATAATTACAGAATAATACATAACTATTATTCAGGTAGAGAACTTACTACACTTAAATTATTTATAACTATATTAGAAAACCATTTGGCATTATTCAGTAAAGTTGAAGATGTGCTTATAATTTAGAGATATTGCCCCTTAGAAATATACATACTAGAGAAATATTTGAACATATGCACTAGATAACATGTACTAAAATATATATAATAATGTTGATAGTAACAAAAAATTTAAAATAAACTAGAAGTCACTATTGACAGGGAAATGAATATGTAAATGGTGGTATATCCATACTGTGAACATTATTCAACAGTGAGAAAAAACTAAAGGCATATGTGTTAACATAAATTTCACAAGCA